ATGCTCATAGGGTGTAACAAACAAATGGTCATTCCTTTAAATTTCTCCAATGTCTACTTGCAGTCAGTAGCTTGTCCTCAACAGCAATAAAAGATTTTAAAGCTTAACTATTTACTATGTCAAGTTGCCCCATAATAGAAGGAATTCCAGTGCTACGCCAGCAAAGCTTACTAATTATTTTATTTTATTTTATTTTATTTTATTTTATTTTATTTTATTTTACTTTATTTTATTCCTAAAAAAGCATGGCCAAACCACTGCAATCTACCACAAAACGTACTGGCAGCTAGGAAGATTGGTGGAACATTTCCCTCTCTTCACTTAGTAAGCAGGTGGTAGCACATTTTGTACTTGCTCATGTAAAGTGATTTATTCTTTACATACAAACTCTGCTTTCCCTTTGGCACTGATTGCAGCCTAACATTTTAAAAGTCAGGTGTAACATGACCACTGTGATCAAGGCTATACCCCTGGAAAGGTGATTATCTACCAATATTCTAAAATGACTGGTAAAAAGGATGAGTTCAAGGAGATAAAATAGCAGAGCACAGGGAAATCAAAATTGTTTATAGTATCAGCATCTGTTTAGAAAGTAATTCAGCTAGGAAAAATTAGCCTATTCACTGCCAAGGTTGTAAACATGGCCATTGATACACAATTGAAATATAAGTTGAAAAATGTCTATGTGCTTTTCCATTTAATGCTTTTATTATAACGCTTTTATTATTTCTGTAATAAAATGTCTAATTTGTTGACTGTAAACATTTAGGAAAGGCTAGAAACCAATTTATTTACAAAATAGAAGGGAATGGACTTTTGATGATTAAAATACACAATTCCAACAACAGGCCTTCCAACTCACGGGCCTGTGAATGACTTAAAAATGTGGCTCATTCCTTTGTAATTTCTGTACCTTATTTAAAGTACTCCCAAGAAATTAAACCTCCAGGTATACATAAGGAATAACAGAAACACCTCTAAAATAATTGCTTATCTGAAAACCGTTTAAGTTCATATGTCACACATACTAAAATGAAGTTGTGAAGGAGAGGAGAGGAGAAAGACTTAAAGAAAAATGCATGGGAAGGATTAGAAATAACAATCAAGTTTTGGCAACCAGTTTTACACATGCTCACAATAATGATGTTCATGCTAAGCGCCAAATCAGCCTCCTTCATCTTATATTTTCCTTGCACAATATAAGCTAATATTATCCCCTGGTCACAATGTCCTGAATTTCTATTACTCTTTTGCAACATCTTTTGTAGCTAAATGTCTCCAGAATCTTTATCTTTGAACTTCCTTTTCTTTCTCAAGTCCACTGAGACTGATAAATCCTAATGTCATTTATTCAGTCCAAAAATTTTTAATGAACTCTCAGTCGACTTGGTACAGAGATTACTCATAACTGTGGAGTTCATTAATTAATTAGAAATGAACGAAACTGCAAAGAGAGTTTTAAATTAAAGCAATAATTTAAAATCACTTGGATTTTTTAAAAATAGTTACAATGGATTATACAGATTAGTTTATGTAATAGTAGAGATTATAAAGATTGTACTAATTTTATTAGACTTATTCTTCATAAGACAATTATGAACATTCACATTACTGCAACCTTGTTTTCTTTTATACAATGGATATAAATGGCATTTGCTTGTTTTTAAAGGACACCAGTAGTGAGGTCCTTCATTTACTGAGAAGTTGCAGGCAAACATCCCAAAATACTGGAAAGCCCTTGACACTCCAGATCCTCATGAAGGTCATTATTTAACTTACCTGTATATACCACTGATTTGAATATATTTGAAATAAGTATTTAAGTGTTCAAATATAAATGGCTGAAATCCCCTGGGATAAAACTGTATTGTAGCAACATAATGTTTTTGCCACTATGAAGCAAAATTGATTCAAGATTTGAGAAGTTACAGTCGATAATACATATTTTATATAAACATGTACGCACATGCACAGAACAATTTTTTCTGAATTCTTAAAACACGCTCCTTAAAACAAAGATTAATATTCTAAAATAATATTTATGAATTCCAAAAACATTTTAAAAAATAATTTAACCCCTTTAATTCAGAATCCAATGGAACAATACTACATGGTGAAAACACTTTTGTTTCCTTATTTATCTTGAAGTTATCAAATTTTACAGACACGTCATCAATTAAATTCTATCTTTGCAGAACATTTTTAAGGATCCATTTCACACCAGGGAAGAGAAATTCCCTATGCAAAAAAAAAAAAAAAAAAAAAAAAGTACTACGTAACTAATCCTGTAAAAATAAGGAACAGCTTACTTTCTAAATTATGATCACGTAAAGGCAGGAAAACAATAAAATATAGGGAAAAATTATGTGCTTTGTAATTTTTTCCCTCAATTACCTAAATAAAATACATAAAAAGAACACAATGTTTCAAACATTATGGCAGGACTCAACACAAATTGTTTCTCCAGCTGGTTTTGACATGAGTTGCATTTGCGTATTTGAGAGAAGAATTGGTACATACTTTCTCCCAAATTTTTAATATTATTTAAGGCTAAGACAAAATTGCTAGTGTTTGAATTGCTTATTGTTTGCTTCACTGATTCATCTACTCATTACTCATATCACAGTGCATATATGACTGGTGCTGAAAGTTCTTATGAAACTCCATAGATCATGAGATAGTAAGATTTATGACGGATTCACATTATGCTGGATTTCAAATTCCCTCAGGGTGATGAGTTCCACCTTTATGCTTACTAAGTTCCTAGTTCACCAGATACTGCAAATCAAAAGGATCAACATTTAAGATGCACAATTAAAATAGGCATCATATCCATTTTATATTATTTTAGAACTGCCTGCCTCTACAGGCAATGTATGCCTCTAGAGCAAGAATTAGAGGCTGATATGACACTTTTGTCAAGTTCTGGATTTGACCTCCTAGGGCTACCTAATATTTGGATTTGGTGCAGTAGTGAAGTTTTGAAGCAAACCTCCTGGCAGTCCTCAGTTGATACATGATGGTTTGTTTCACAGAGCAGTTCTGGGGCGCACCTGACTGCTTTTGTAGGAAGCTAAACTGGAAGTCCTATCTAGGTGCACATCAATCAATCTCCAGCCCTAAAGGGGACACAGAAGTCCAAAGAAGAACCTCATATGGCTTTCAGTCACTTGTGTGAAATGCAAGGACCAGACTAGGTTTAATGGAAAGCAAGGCATCCAAATCACATACATAGATACATGAGCCCGAATACCAAATACTTTGATCTGCTTATGCAGGTGCTTCCTGTACACCCTGACATACTGCAGCAAACTTGCATGTTCCTGATTTTCTGCATGAACTCTCAGTCTGTAGCTCTGTTAGTTTACCACTTGGGAGTCAACACAGTGCATACCATCACTGATCTGCAGTTTGGTCATGAATGTTTTAGGGTGCTTTGCCTGTACTGTTCGGATAGCTGCTGTTGGAAATTGGTCTTTGTGTTAAATCCCCATGCCGTGACAGTTGTGACTTTTGTAGATGTGATCATACACAAAACAAAACAAACAAAAATCAAACTCCAAACCAAATCAAACTCCATTCTCCCTCTCCCGAAATATTCTGTTCCCAGTGTTTACTCTAAATTGAAAATTAGCATAGTCAAAATTTATAATCAGTGGACTCTAAGCTGAGATTTACAGTTTTGCTACTCAGATGCCTCAACATTTGGAACATATCATACAAAGCCTACTTGCACAAGAACCTAACACGTGCACCTAGCAGCCATCTCCAGGAATATGATGATGCAAATTTAGGATTCCTTTTCTGAATATCTAGTGGTGACAAGGAAATGTGACAGCACGCTTTCATAATTTCTCAAGAGTTAAAATAAATCATAACACAGATTTTACATACTCTATGCACAAATATTTAAGCATATTTTTTTCTCTAGTCAAATTTCACATGATAAATAAGCAAAATATTCTTCTTTATTTCACTGCTCACCTTGAATAGCCAAGTTTCCAAACAAAGCTGATGCATTCAAAAAGAAATCAGTACCGAATGAAACAGTAACCGAAAATCAGTAGTTTGGCTAACGCCCTGTGTCACAGTATGTTAGTCTGCCTCCAGCTTGTATCACTTCATATTCCTAGCCCACAAAAATATCACATAGACTCAGGATCAGAACTTGAAGAAGTACAGAATACTGAAGGATCTTAGCTAATGATTCCAGATATATTTGTATATCTTTTTTTTCTCGACAGTACTATTAAGGAAATGATAATTGCAATCTAATCCAGTTAAAGCTGTTGTTCAAAAAAATAGCATGCAGTGTAGTTTATGTAATAATGAAACTCCAAAACTTAAGAACTTCTGAATCACACAGGAGAGACAAGAAGCAATATATATATATATTCTAAGGAGAAAGGGAACTTAAATAGATGTGAACATATTACTTTAACTGTCAATTTATTTTTCAGATAGTCTGCCTACAAATTTCCATTCCAAAACCAAGTTTTGCAAGTTGTATATCAGACAGAGAAAGAAAATACTATTGTTTCAGAAAGATTTCTCAAACTGATTTTAAATAAAAAACAGGAATTATCTCAGAGATTTAGAATGTATAAGAGACGGCTTAGAAAAAATATATGCCCTCTTATAAAAAAAAAGTTATTTTTAGTGTTTAGACAATTAAGAGGTAAATCAGCCACAAATGAATGAAAAATAAACATTTTTAAATTATTTTCTCTAAACCTTGACTAGGCAAGTAAAGCTTTTAGATTTATGCAGAGTGGACATTATTATATTTTGCTATTACTGCAGAATACCCTGCAGTAAATAAGAGCAATAAATGGTACTATAAATGCACTATAAATGGTAGGTATAGTGAAGGAAAAATCACACTTCTGATGACCTCTTGCTTCAGCAAAATAAACATTTTTGAAAACAGGTTGATGACTTCTTAAATGTAGCCTGGACAGTTCATTGATAGCTTTTTAGCTAATTTGTTCCCTCCTTACCTTTTCTGGAGGTGCAGGAGGATCAAATCTCTTTGCACAAACTAGAAATGAATCAGGCTGTGGCTTGCCATGCTTCACCTCAGGGTCATCTCCCAACACAATATGATGAAAAAGACCAAAGAAGTCTTTGTGTCTGGATGTTTTCATCTGAAATGTCACTTCAGCTGAGCTAGTGGCAACGGCAATGGGTATCCTGTGTTTATGTAAATGACGGATCAACTTATCAACCCCTGCAAGACAAAAATATTTTATATAATATATATAATACACGCACACACATTTCTATTAACATTATGCTATAACACATTTAGCAATATCCCAACAATTTCCTCTGATCGAACATAGCATCTTTTCTTCATCAGCGTGGAAGAGAATTCTGAAACCCTGCCATTCCACACACACACACACACACACACCAAAAATGTTTCTCAAGGTACATGCGTATTCTAGAATTAAATAGTGCTTATCTCAAAATATGCAAAATGAGTTCAACATCACTGCATCTGTCCACCCACCAGAAACTCATTAAGCAAAGTCTCTAATATTATGCATGTTTATCCTTTCAAACTCCCTGTAAGTGTGAGAAATGCATACAGGGGGGAATGCTTTCTTTTATAAATGCATACATGAAGCCATTCTTCTGCTAGTGAAAAATCAAGATCAAAGAAAGCCTCTTCTCACTGAGAGGTATGGTCTTCAATTTCTGTAGCAGGTATCCAGCTGGCCTCAAGCAGTCCCTAAGAGAGTTCAGATTCTCTCTTGTGCAATTATCGCAGAAAGTAACATTGAGAAGAAAAGGGGAACTGTCAATCACAGCTGTTAATACCAGAGCTTTGTCTACCGATGCTATGAACCCAAAGAAACGAACACCTCAAACCTAATGGTTAGAAACCTTCAATGTAATTCCGTCTTCTATTGAAAGTTAATGCAGAAAACCGTGAAAACACAGCAGCCTGTGTAAGAGGGAAACACACTTCATTATGCCGTCCAGCGTGGAGCTTCCTATGTAAAGGTTTTGATCCTTTTCCACTATGGCACTCTCAATGTAGGATACCCTCTCCTAGACAAAATAACCACCGAGGTCTAGCAGAGAATGAGAATAGATGTCTGTTCTCTGCCAATTCACAAGAGAACACCCCTCCATATCTGTAAAATCACTTCAGCTCTATTTTCTAGCATGAATACAGACTCTCCTGGGCAAAGGATATTAGTTTCAGGCAGATAACCTTCCAATTGACTTTTGTCTTGATTTTCCGAACTTGCTCAGGAAATGCTGTCAGTGGGCAACAATACGGCACACACTTTGCTTCTTTTCGTTGCTTCTCATTCAAAAAGAAAACAAACAGCTACAAAGATGATTCCTTCCTTAATAGGCTGATTTTACAAAACAAAAAGGTCAGCTTGTAATGATTGACAGAAACTCAGGCTACCAAAAACTTAGTACTGCGTGAGGAAATCCTGTTACATTTTGGCAATAGGTTCAAAGGGGACAGAATTCCCTCTCTTTTCTTCCCAAGGTAATACATTCCATAATAATATACATAACGAGACACAGACACCTACATTGCTTTATACTTAAACTATACTTCTTTTTAACTTAAAGTCACAAGTTTTAAAAAGATGCCAGAGTTAAGTTTTTTGTTCCATCTTGTCTTGTTCCTGTTCTTTACCCTGCACTCACATATTCACCGTGGCAGGACATCTGCCGCAGAATTCCCATGGGATAATTTAAGGTATACATAGGATCCACAGTAAAGCAAAGGAGTAGGGCAAGTTAGCCTTGGGAGAGAGCTGTGCTTGTGTGATTATATTGTTTTGGTTAGCAGCAACAGGTTTTAATATAATGTTTTGAAGCAATTATGTGTACCTTATTTTCTAGATTGCTAAATTCAATTTTCCAAAATACAGTAAGTATATAAGAGCACGTATACCATGCTAAACCACAGCACTTGAAATGTTAAGTCCCAAATTGGCCATATAATGAGAAAGCACATAGTTTTAGCCTTCTGAATTTCACTGCCTGCTACACAACAGGTATTATTCTCAATTACTCTAGAGATGTACTGAAACAAGTTATTCTATTTTTACAAAGCACTCAAATACTATAATGGTCAGAACGGCAGATTAGAAAGTTAAGGTTTTATTTCATAATACATATAAGGGGTCAATTAAAATTATAACATGATCCTATTTTCATATATCTTTACTTTGGGCATTCACTTTTCTAGAAGCTATAAAACCCATTGCCTTCACAAGGCCACCAGTAGTTCCAGAACCTTTAAATCTGTCATGTGCAATGAAGCCACTATAGCTAATGTATCAAAACTGATAATAGCAGCTAGTTGATTTCTTCCATTGCAACTAGTGCAACCATTAAAGAATGAGAGGACACAAACTGCTGGAAAGTTTCAAAGATTTCATGCTGGCAGCAGAGAAGATGGATTGTTAGAGGCAGAAAGCCCCAGAAAGGAGTGTGTGACACACGCTTTATTTTGTTTCCCATAGGTGTGATGCTTCCTAAACCCCCATCTTTAACCACATTCTTACCCCATCCCACCTATTTGCTGTCTTGCCTCATTCCCTCTGGCCCCCAGCATCAACCCCTACATCAATCTCACATAGCTGCTCTTTCCCAACTGTGCCATTCCCAATGCCTTAATAGCCATTTTGATCACCTACCACAGATTTAAGCATCTTACCGAAATTCTCAGTGCCTCTACTTCTCTGTGTTCTTCTCTATGAAGTGTTTGGCTAGTATTCCTAAAATTGCCTATTCTGAACACTTAAGCTACCTTTCAAAGCACGTTAGCTAACTTTGATAAAAGCTGTCCAGCTGCAGTTGCATAGAGTTCCTTGAACACTGCTTTTCATAACAACAAAAGCAAGTTTAGCTTTTAGTGCCTGAAGCAGCATAAGTGTGTGTCAAGACAGTATCACATCAGGTAGCAGAGACATAATGCAACTTGGGCATGGGGGGCGGCAGGGAGGAGGGGGTGACCCCTTTCCAGTGGTGGCACCAACAGAACTAGAGGTAATGGCCACAAATTGAAACACCAAAAGTTCCACAGGAACTTAAGGAAGTATTTATTAGCAGTGAGGGTGACAGAGCACTGGAACAGGCTGCCCAGAGAGGTTGTGGAGTCTCCTTCTCTGGAGATCTTCCAAACCCGCTTGGATGCCACCCTGTGTCACGTGCTCTAGGTGACCCTGCGTGTGCAGGGGGGTTGGACTAGATGATCTCTAGAGGTCCCTTCCAACCTTAACGACTCTATGACTCTAAGTTTGTACACACTTCATTCCAGTCACTATCTCCATTTGTCTAAGAGGTGTTCAATTCTTATCTTCCAGCTACTTGAATTCTTATCCCACTTGCCATGCCTCGCTACTTTAAACTAATCTTAGTCCCTGTTTCCAGAATACCTATGCTTGGTCTCTGGTTCCTAAAAAAACAATAAAAAACAAAATAAAACAAAACAAAATCCCTAGCATGCCAATTCTTTTCTTTGATCTCCCCAGCTTCTCTGATTTGTATTTCCCACATGGCCCAGCCTGTTTGCTCCACTGACTCCCAGCAGTCTCAGGCAAATCAGACTCCTTGCACCAATCTGGTCACTTCTGCCTTCTGTTCCAGAGGAGGAAAGCACAAAGCATAAAGGCGATAGGTTACTTGCATCGCTTAGCTTGTTCAGGGAAGGAACATCCTGAAACACAAATTTAAAGTCCAAGTTATTATAAGCCACAAAAAAAAAAAAGGGTCACACTGATAGTTTTAGCAAGCAGGTAATCACGGGATACGTGACTTCATGATATATATATTTTAGTAACACGTTTGTATATATGCATGGTATAAATATAACGCTCAGTGTTTAGTCAGAAACATGCTTGCAGGGAAATGGCTGATTACCATAAAAAATGCATTCTAATGAGATTTTTTCTTTTTAATTTGCAATGTACGACTTCATAGGAAGAGGGCAATAGCAAGACTCTGTTAGTTAATCTCATGGGAATGTCAAAACCATTTCTAGCCATTTGATCATCTTTTCTGTACATGAGAAATATAATCACCCTCCTTTATTTTAGTTTACAGCTGAAAAAAAAATAACTGCAACTTGAATATCATCTAGCAAGCAAACATATTTAAAATGGCTTTAATATGTATAACACTGATAATTGCAAAGCCCGCTGCTTTAGGCGCTCCTAGAGCTACAGAGAAGTGCTGTGTATGCGGCTGGCCAGTAGGGAATCAAGTGCTTTCTAGGGCTTTCTAGTCAGTACAAAACTACTTTTAATTTGATTCCAGTTTATCTCCTAGTCCTGCCTTTGGAGTATTTTTATTCTAAGTTTTGGGGGAGTTATTTTTAGCCCTTTTACTAAAATAACCCATTCAGAAAACTATTTTAACCCTCAAAGACCAGTGATGGACAAAAATAATTTAAAAGGACTTTAATAGAAAATTTAAGAGTTAAGACATTTTTAGCCTGAAATGCCCAAGGAAGGCAGAAGAGACTGAAGAGAAAGAGCAACCACAAAAACAACAAAGAAAAATCTGACTCTCTGTGAAACAAAGAGCATCCCTCAAACATATTCCTCACCTCCAAGGTTAACCTGAAGAGCGGGTATGACAGGAGAGAAAACACTAAAAAGGAGGAGGAGAAAAAAAAGCACAATGGACAGAGGAAGAGAATAGTGACATACTGGCAATATGAAGAAGTTCCTGCCAGGAAAGAACATGAGGTTGGGGAAGGAAGTGCTTCACATATGGGCAACAGCAGCCGCTTGACAAATTGCCAGAAATTATATATAATTTGCTGACCAGCTTTTCTTTTCTAGGAGTAACATTAATACATTCTTTATTTTTTTCAAATAATTAATCTGAATGAATATCTTCATTATGATCAAATAGGAAATGCTTAAAACATTGTTAGGCTCAAGATACAGATTTAAGTGTAATCACTTATGAAGGATGAGATCAAAAAGTGAGAATTTTTCCAAAGAGAAGAATTCATAGAACATGTTTATTTCTAGCTTCTGTCAAAGCCAACTATGCCAAGTTAATCCTTCAGACATTGCTTCTTACTACAATTAAGAAAATAAATGGCAGAGATAAAGAAAACATGCCTTGAATGCTTTTGCTAACACTTGTGTCTGTCTCCAAATAGCCCCACATTCATCGCCACTGTTAAGAGCAATAGTTGTTTTACTGTGACTTCAGGTGCAAAGATACAAAACT